GTGATGTAGTGAGAGGTCTGTCTCTTGGTCGAATCCGTGGCAAATCAGAGGGGTGGGGGTCTGCCAGTCCAAAAAAATCTGTCGGGCCGACTTTCGGTTGCCATATTGCAAGAGTCAGCCTTTTCGGTGTCGGTTTTTTTTTTTTGTACCCCCTTATGTAGGCGGTCGAGACCTCGGTTGGGGCGTAAACTGCATCACCTGATGCAGCAACGACGTTGACCGCCCCGCGGTGACCTATCATGTTAACCCTCATAGCCATAAAGCGTTCATCGATTTCTCTTCTTTCGTGAACGTGGGGGTCTTGCACGTTGACTCTAGTCTAAATGGCTATCCCCACCCCATGCTATCAACGTTTCTCCTTGCCGCTACAGGACACTCGGAAACCCGCCGCCTGCGAATTCCGTTTGCCCTGCATGCAGTCCTGTACATTATCACTGATGCGTGTTGCTTCGCTCCCCCGTGGAGGATGCTGTAGGCTCGCCCGTACCCATTCACCCCGTGTACGTGTAAAGCCAACGTCCGCACACTCCGGGTTGCTACCCGTAAAAGAAGTTGAACCTGCTGTCTCTCTCATGCGGCGCGTGCTGCTCTCTTAGTCAGCTAGCCTACAGCGTACAGCAGTATACGTCTGCGTCCCTCCTTTTCCTACCCCTGCGTATCGGCGGACTCTCGGGATAACGTTGTAGTCCCGGTGCCCTGGTACCAATACTCTTCTTCCGAAGTTACCATGTGCAACATACATGTAGTAGGTACATAGGTGCTTTGAGGGAAGGACTGCGGCACTCTTCTCGCATTTCAAAATTTTCGCATTGACGGCATCGGATTGCTTGTGTGTGGGCGGGGAATCGGAGCTCCTCAGTCAGAGAGAGGGGTTCGCCCTACTGCTTCTATAGAGATTCGCCCCGACGGGGAAACTTTAGATTCGTGGTACGCGTAGATCTTGAGATTACTTGCATCGTCGCCGCTTGGTACAAGTCCAAAGAACACAATCGCCGCTTGCCAGAGTCCAAAGAACAACAATTTTTCGAACATTCGCATCCGTTCCACGTTCCACCGCATTGCTTCCTCGTCCTCTCATTCCTCTCCCCTGACCACATCTCTCCCTATCCCTATCCGGACGACTTCTTCATCCTCGCAGGAAGTGTTGGTGAGTGTTCAAAATATATATCATCATCCCGCCCTGTAGAGCTCTCGCGCCTCCGCTGTCTCTAGACAGCCCACTTGAGCATGATGAGCATGCAGCAGGATGGCGGAATGTAAATGTATGAGACTATGTTTGTACATTAGGTGGATTGCGGTGCGCCGTGTTGTTTCGTTTGGCGTACCGCACGGAGATTACACCCGACTAAAGGATTTTTCGCATACTTACCGAGCGCTTGAACAGAAGTGATTTGGTAGACAACTGCTGCTGTAGTGTCGGAATTCATCGTATAGATAGAGTGTAGTCTACAGTAGGTCTTTTAGGTTTTTGTGCTGACTGTCAAGCACCGAGACTCTTCCGGAGAGACTCTCGCACTACAGTACAGTCCTCCGTGTTCTCACTCCACTCCACCAATCTCCAGTCGTTGTACGGCATTTCGGAACAGATGTATAGCTCCCCAGGCGCAGGGTTCGCGGCTTGTGGTACGGACACACACAGAAGTGTCCCATATGTTTCGAATCGCACGTCCGCACGAACTATTACAACAACATTTTACTTTGTCTCTACCAGCTGTAGGTATTAGTCGAATGTGTTGAAAATTGGGAAAGGTTGTCAAAACGAAGAGAATCGGAAAAACGATTCACCACTTTATTGTTTTTCTTTCGAATTGCCTTGATTAATATTTTCTGTGGCCTACGGAGGGAGACTTCCCCCGTACCACACGTCCCGCACGGCACAAAGCCTCCGCGGTATCCTAACGTGTCTCAGCTACTAAACACAAATCTCCCTCCGAATACCACCAGACGGGACGAAACTGTTGTACAGTAGCAGTCTCGGACGATTGAGCCTCCCAATGGTACGCTACCATTCAGAAAACACCCTATGCTACGCTAACTTGCTTCTACATGGCGAAGGTGGCTCCTCCGAGTCACAGAAAATATTAAGAGGCCTCTTCTAAGTGAGCCCTCACTCGTAACATCTCTCCTATCCCCCACCTTCGAAAGAAAAGGGGTGGGTGGGCGGGAGAAAAGCCACGACATGATTGCTAGCTATCGTCCAAATTTCGATGTAGCTAGCTGCTGCCCTTCTGCCACGTGACTCCAAAGCGGGCTGCATGGTACATATTGTGTCTTTCTCACAACGTGGCCCTTGGGTCCAGTGGACAAGCGTCTATCAAACTCTTGCCGCAGGAGCAGCGAGGCAGCAGAATGACAACTCCGTGAGACCTTTCTCTTTTTGGGACCCCAGAAAACCGAACCAAGACATCCGAACCAACGCGCCTCCAGGGCGGCACAACAAGAACCCAAATACACACGTAGATCTGGGAGATGTTCCGAATTCTTCCGTGCAAAATAAACTACAGTTTGTTCGGTCTTCGACAACAAACTTTCATTTTGCGCCGGAGCAATGGTTCTACAGCAGTAGAGGGACGCACACCCATTACAGTCTAGGCTAGTCTGCTGTACAAGGAGGACATAGATACATGTCAAAGACTCAACTCTTGATTCGATTCCTAGTGTGTGAAAGTCAAGAACTTGTATCTATCGTACGAGGACTACAAAGGTGTGAAGCCGTCTTAATGTCTGGGGATTGTGGTACTGTCTGTAGTTGTTGTTGTTGTTGTGTTGTGTTGTGCTGGTCGCTATCTTCATGCCACACGAAGATCCGTTTGAAGCGGTGAAAATGGACGCATTCCACGCAAGGTCAGCTACTGTAAGGGACATACAGTACCAACCCCGGTATGCCCACAAGGGGATCCAGGCGGTGTTCGAGTTATGAAACCCGATGAAACGTGTTGCTATAACAGCAGTTGTCGTTCCTCCTTTTGCTTTTTTCTTCTTCCAACCCCCCACCTCTGTATGATATGGCACAATATGCAGCATGCGGTCAAATGAATACGGCGTACATGCAGCAGTATTAGTAGACGTGGGCGTATTATGAGGGCGGATGCTTCCTAAATATCTCTTTTCTGTAAGTAGCGGGTCAGATCCGTTGAGATTGTTTTGAACGCCTGCATAGAGAATGAGCTGAAAGCAATGTAATCCGCCACAGTATTTCAAAATATGTTGACGACCATGCAACCGACGTACATTAGTTTTCTACTGCTGTACGAGTAGAAAAATCGAAAATGCACCACAACTTGGCTTCCGAAATGTCACAAGCGAGTCGGATCCGTTGAAATGCATTGGGCGCCAGCGTAAAGAGAAAGAACGGAGGACATTGTGATCCGCTAGCTACATAAGTTTGATCATATATCTAGTCTACGCATTGAGATAGTCTACGCATTGTGATGTTTCACTGTCAAATTTGTAGCCATATACGCGTGTACGGTAGTGTACTCAGTCGTCAAGTAGCCGCATGGTCCGGCGCAGTTGCCCAATACTGCGCGCAGCCAGGGTTGGCAACATGACTGTAGAAGCGTCGAACCGTTTAATTTGTTATCGAAACCCTGGGGCGTTTGTCGAAACGGATGCTTCCTCACTGCGACTTCCCACGCCGCTTTTGCCATCGCAACAGGGGCTGCAAGATGAAGTTCCTTTCGATGACCGCTGGGCCTCTGCTGCTCGCCTTGGCCGTCAGCGCCGGTCGCGGCCGCCGTGGCAATGACGACTCCAACGACGCGCCGTCCCCGACCCCGACGTCCTCGAGTGACTCCTCGAGTGACTCCTCGAGTGGTTCCTACGACGCCACGTCCGTCGGGACGACCGGTGAGTCATCCCAGGCGGCGACATCCTCCTCCCCCTCGACGGATGCTGAGGTTTACCCGGAGCCGATGAGTTACGGCAACGACGCGGAGATTACCCCCGAGCCTATTTCCTCCTCGTCCTCCGGCTCCGTCGAGCCGACGGACTACTACGTCGAAGCGACAGACGGAGGAGAGGAGACGATCACGATGGGCAGCGGAACGGATGACGGGGGCGAGGAGGAAGGGGCGCCGATGGAAAACCCTGATGACGGGGCGTCCTGCTCCACCTACGATGAGGATGTGAGAACATGAAATTCACAGAAAACCGGCGCGTGCAGTACGAATCTAAAAAGAGAAACCGAATCATTTGACTACTGTAATCAGCTAAAAACCCCAAGAAACAGAAACGGTTTCGGCATAATTTGCTGGGATACAGGCTCGGGTGGTGAGCAGCATCAACCAGAGAGAAGGCTGATTCATGTGTGTGTGTGTTTTGAGTTACTTTTCTCATAGCATTGACCGCGCTAACCATGTGTTGTTGCCCATATTACAATCCCACGAAAACGTTTCAGGTGGAAGTCGCGAAACTCCTTGATAGCACTTGTGAATGGGACACCTACATGTGCTGCTGGACCGGCAGCGACGGAGCGGACGGGATGACCGCGAACTCCGACGTCTGCCGCGTACTGGACTACCCGGAAGAGGGAGACTCCTTCGAAATGCCCCGCGATTCGGAGGGCTCCGTGTACTGGTGGGTCCATATGCGTGTCCTTCCTTGTAGAGATCTGACTATTTTAAGTAGTCTACTGGGTTTTGTTTCTCCTTTGATGACCAAAATATCTACGCCATGCACGGGATTGTAGAGATCTGACTATTTTAAGTAGTCTACTGGGTTTTGTTTCTCCTTTGATGACCAAATTATCTACGCCATGCACGGGATCCCGCATCGTAATACAGCGGGGGGGCGTCATGAACGCCGGTTGATTAGCGCCGGTGGCCTTGTATAGCGTTGGTGAAATTGCTGGGCACAGACTGACAATCATTGTGTACATTGAATAGCGCCGGTCGATTCGCCGGACACAAACCGCCGTATTGAGGGCCCTCCACTCACTGTAGTCCGTATTTCGTTTTGGCTTTGGTTAATTTTCTTTCTTCTGTTTGGGGACGCCATCGCGTCCCCTGGATATGGATTTATCCTCTACAGCTCCTGCTGTGGTGCTGATACGGCAACGCGATATCTTGTTTATTGTTGTTTTTCTTTCGAATTGCCTCGATTAATATTTTCTGTGGCCTACGGAGGGAGACTTCCCCCGTACCACACGTCCCGCACGGCACGAAGCCTCCGCGGTATCCTAACGTGCCTCTGCCACAACACAAATCTCCCTCCGAACACCACCAGGCGGGACGAAACTGTTGAATTGAGCCTCCCAATGGTACGCTACCATTCAGAAAACACCCTATGCTACGCTAACTTGCTTCTACATGGCGAAGGTGGCTCCTCCGAGTCACAGAAAATATTAAGAGGCCTCTTCTAAGTGAGCCCTCACTCGCAACGTCTCTCCTATCCCCCACCTTCGAAAGAAAAGGGGTGGGTGGGCGGGAGAAAAGCTACGACGTGATTGCTAGCTATCGTCCAAATTTCGATGTAGCTAACTGCTGCCCTTCTCTGCCGCGTGGCCCTCCAAAGCGGGCGACATGTTACGCATTGTGTCTTTCTCACAACGTGGCCCTTGGGTCCAGTGGACAAGCGTCTATCAAACTCTTGCCGCAGGAGCAGCGAGGCAGCAGAATGACAACTCCGTGAGACCTTTCTCTTTTTGGGACCCCAGAAAACCGAACCAAGACATCCGAACCAACGCGCCTCCAGGGCAACACAACAAGAACCCAAATACACACGTAGATCTGGGAGATGTTCCGAATTCTTCCGTGCAAAATAAACTACAGTTTGTTCGGCCTTCGAAACTTTCATTTTGTTTTAACAAAGCTGTTACAGTAGTGTGCCCACCCCGCCTTACCTCTGTTTTGATGCCAACCAACGACACAGCCATGGCTTCGCCTGGGTGGAAGGCGCGGACGTGGACACCCACATCCTGCCCCTGTACCACTACGTGAAGAACGTCGGCCGTACCGAAGAGGGGGGCTTCTACGGAAAGTGAGTCGCCATCTGTTGGTGGTTTTTGCTTGAGTAAATACGCGACGAGCAGTTCTGACTTGCGGCTGCTCGGGCGCGGTCCCGCAGATCCCTACTTCGTACCTGACACAAAGATCACCGGAGCACTGGTTTTTGGAATGACTTGCAGTGCTACAGTTGTACCAGGAGGCCTTGGCCAGAGGTATGGGAAGGGGCGATCTCTGGTAGAACTTCCTTTAAGTAGAGCTCCGTCTTCTTCGCGTGCGGCCCGTAGTACCGTTGTTGGACACTGCTGCGTTGAACGTGTACGCGTTGAACAGAGATGAAGCTGCCGGATAGCGGCCCGTGCCCTGTCACATCACTAGCAGTGCCGTTTGTTCCATTCAGGCCATATCAGGGGGAACGACGGCTACACCTTGTGTCTTCGTCGTGGTGCCGATCGTCCACCGCATCACCCTCCGGCATTTTTTGGTTCCCTCCCTGTTTGAGCTTTTTCTCCGGGGAAATGTGCACGGTAGGCCCACCGCGACCGTTTGGCGAACCTCTCGTGCTGAAATCTTGATCCCCTCCTCGCACGTTTTTCGTTGATCGAATTCTCGTGTGCAAACCGACAGCGTGGAGGGAGCGCCGGAATGCGGGTGCATCGAGGAAATGCCCCAGGTGTCCTACTCCGAGTGCTCCAGGTACGAACGTCAACGTTTTGGTTTCCTGAAACCCTACCTAGTGGGGAACAATGGTGCCAAAGGACAATGGGACGGCAGTTTGTAGTCGAGAGGGGGATTACCAGCCATGCCGGCGGTTGTAGGTAGAAAATTACCCAAAACGTGGGAATCTTTGATGTGACCCTCGACATGACCCCTTTCCTTCTTATCGCGTGGCCAGGTACTCCTGGGAGGGGATCGTTGGTTGCGGCAACAACGGGCTGTTAAGCCAGTACCGCGGTCGCCTGGGCGAGCCCTACGGCCCGATGGACGACAACCTGGTGAGGACATGCGACAACGAAGACGTTCCGGACTACGACTACGGGTCGTGCAGCCACAACACGTACATGTGCTGCTGGACGGAAAACGACGGCGAGGGAATGGCGGACAACACGGTGAGACGTCGCGTGCCGGCCGTGGCCTCTTGCGGCGTATTTCTTGCTGCAGAGCTGACATGTGTTGTTTCTCTCGAACGTGATGACTCTTTTGGCTCCCTTTCCAAACGTGTGAACCCGGTCTATCGACAAGACACGTGTGCAAGGAAGGACGTTAACCTGACTCTGTTGTCTGTTGTCTTGGGTCATCTTGGTGCCACGCAGGACGTGTGCCGTGTGGTGGACTACCCGTCGATGGGTGAGACGTTGGAGTTCCCCGGCGACAGCGAGGGGGAGGTGCACTGCCACGGGTTCGTGTGGCCCGAGGACGCCACCGACAAGTACATCCACCTCCTGTCGCAGTTCGTCCAGAACTTCGACCACAGGGACAGGAGGGGGTACTACGGAAAGTGAGTCACGTCGTACGTTTACCTCTGCATGGCCACATCGGTATCCCGTCCTCGTCAGCCTGTCATCGAATTGAATAACATTTGTTTCGTAAGACGCGTGCTTGTGTGGACGGCCGCCCGAGTTTTCGAGGTGGCGACGTGCACCATTCCTTCTTCTACTGAATGCCGACCATTGTACCACGTCTCCTACACGACAAACCTCTCTCCATCTTCTTATTTCTCACCCCAACCGAAACAAAAACACGCACCATACTATGTAGGGCAACAGGTACATACTGTAGCAAAGGCAGCGCAACACGTCATCGTGGTGAATGGTAGAACGACTGGTCAAGGCGAGGATAAGACGAGTAACCCATTGTCTTCTCCTCCAAACGTTTCGCATATCATTCCTGTCGTAACCAGTATCGAGGGCGCCCCCATGTGCGGCTGCATCGAAGAGATGCCGGTGGTTTCCGAAGCTGACTGCACCACCTACGACACCGACCCGGAGCGAGAGGGCAAGTTCACGGCGTGCACGAAGAACGACCTCCGCACCCGCTACGAGGCAGAGTACCCTACCGGGGAGCTTGCCAACCTCGTTGACACCTGCGACAACGCGGAGTAATTTGAGAAGACCCAGCCATGCCTCTGTGCTGGCTGTCTGTCCGTTATTTCATCCGCCCCGATGGGCAGAGGCTGCCTAGCATACTCAGTACTTAACGGAGGGCGTGCCTTGTGCACACGCAGGTCGTCAAGCATTGCAGTATCCTCCCGATAGTATATTACGACACATGAGTCCTTACTTTGGTCCCCATCCACGCACAGTATTGTCGTCGACTGCTTTATCTAGAGTATTTTAACGTGTTCACGGGTGGGTGTGGGCTGCTCGCCTGTCAGGTTTGGTTTAATAGGGCCGTTTTGTTGCTCCACTTTTGAAACCGGGACCGTAGGCTACAAGTTGAGTGATGTAGCTGCCGGTTTCTGCCTCGATTTTTGAGGCGCAGAGAACACAGACATCGGTAGGCATACACAACTTGGGTTCGTACATTTTTGGGTAGGACAGCGCTCATCCCGGAGTCTTATTGCCAACTCGGAGTTGTATTTGTTCAGACTTCTTTGCTGGACCCTTCCTTTTCCTATTCCAGTACATGAATGCAATAAGACCATCGTTTTCGTCGTTGTGTTCGTGACTGCACAGACGAGTACACTGGCACTGGACATTGTGTGGAATGCTGGGGAGGAAAGCATTTACACGGTTACCTTTTCAATGTGGTTCAACTGTTCTCTTGCCGCGAGCGTTGCACTCTATCGACCGAAGCACCCTGCATGGATAAAACATGGTGGTGTTGGGTTGAGTCCGGAATGCCAAGTTTTTTTCCTTGCTAGCGTTCCTCGTGAGAGGCTCAGTGAATACGAAGATTGACTCTGATTTCGTTGACGTGGTTGTCTTGCGAGCATTCATTCCGATGCCGCGTGAATGGCATTGACAACGTGATGTTCGACTGGGTTGGGTCTGCTCGTGACTTGTCATGTATGTATGTGTTGCCTGTATAGATTCTGGTATGTATATTTTGTCGTTTCACTCCGTGTGAATATTCGGTGTAACACGCGTTTGCGTAGCTGTTGCACCCTTGCTCGTTGGCTATCGGGCCTGCATTGTTCGCCCCTGGCATTGGCTTCTGGCTTCCCGTGAAACTCTCTGTGGAAGGAACATCAACGATATTCAAAACTCGGCGTACGTAGCCCGATGCGCAAGAGAGCTCCGAGAAAGCACAGAGACGCACACCACAGACACAGCAATTGGTTGGACTTACTCTTCCTCCTCCTCCTCCTTCTCCTCCTCCTCCTCCTCCCCCTTCTCCTGATAGCGATCATGTTGCTCTTCCATGCTGCTGTCATCCAGGATCGAGAAAACCTCATCATCCGCGGCTTGCTCCCTCTCCTCGGCCTCTATTATATGTAGTCTCCATCATAATTGGCTTCTACAGCCATAATGTACCCGTAGCTCGTGCTTCTCTGGTACAGTAGTAATCGGCTCTCCTCCTGCTCCGCTGGCTGCTACTTCATTATCGTCTGTACACGTAGTTGTACAAACACATTGATCACAGAGACAGATCAGTTGGGCTCAGCGACCAAGGGTAGGGCAACCCGGGCACCCGGGAACGAGTTATACTATTTTCGCGCGAACCGCGAAAAAAAGAGGCGTTGTGGCTGAAGCCTTCTTTTTTCTCGTTGTATTTACCCTCTGTTGTTTTGGCTGTTTCTCTCTTAAATCGAGCTCGATTTCAAAAGTGTTTTTTGCTCTACATTCCCTGGCACTTAGGGTTAGATGCTCATCGGAATGTACATGTAATTGCGGCCGAGGTAGTGCAGAGGTACCACCCTTTTGTGTTTTCTTCGAAGCGTCCGTTTGACGTGTATCTCTGTCAAAGCGAGCTCGATCTCAAAGTTGGGCATATTACGAGAAGAACCGATGCGTGTACATTCAAAAACAATGCAACCCATGTGTGTGTGCTTCTACATTCAGATCTCTGCGAATCGCACGGCAGCATCAGGTCTGTTGTTAGCTCTATGTACACCGGCACCACACTCCGATCAGGGCAAGCCATCCTGAAGCATCGGCCGTTCGTTGCCGTTTACCCCCAGAACCGATTTGGGCGAAACAAAATTGGAACTTTTGCGACAGAAGAGTTTGCTAACACGACACTACCCCTCTCCCATTACTGCTACATGCTGCTGCCATGCGCAATTACTGGTTGTGTGGTGCCCACAAGGTTTGCACACCCCCCGTAAAAAACACACATATCGGCCTCCATAGCACGGATGGTACGTCTATCGCCCCCATCCCCACCTTGGCATCCGGCATGGACGCCCCCGTCTCCACCAAACCGCCCTTACTCACTACTCCAGGCACCGGGTGCTACCGCAGTAACCTATATACAAGGCGTTTCCAACTTCCAACGGGAAAGGACGGTTGCTCGCCGAATAGGCGATCGCTGAAATAGCAACGAATAATCAATGACAAACGAGCCCTTGATCTCCGAAGTTGCCTATGGGTAAATCAAGCGTCAACATCTTCCGGTTGTCACAACAGTTCTCCGCAGCGATGCAAGATGGCTGCCGATGATCACCGAGAGGTTCGCATTGAACCGTTGTTGCATCGCGCAGGATTAACACCAGGTCTTCAAACACTGCCCTGGCACCCCTAGATTGGGTAGCTGATCGACGTAGAGGAAGGGCTTCCCACATTATCGTGAAAATGGATTCACTGTTATAACAGTGAAATTCACTGTTATAATAGTGAACTGTCACTCTTACAACGGTGAGGAGCACTCTTAAGAAAGTGAGGAGCACTCTTATAACAGCGATAGACACTTTCATAAGAGTGACGTCACTTGTTAAAAAGTGATATTATAGTCACTTTTACAAAAGTGATATTGACTGTAATAAACGTCACTCCCTCCCCACAATGAAAGTGAAAGCCACACTCACTTTCACAGACACTCCTACAACATATGACGAGAGTCATTTCACGGTATGAAAGTGAATGATACTTATATGAAAGTGGCTTGCATGTCACTTTCATAAAAGTGCAGAACTAGTCCACGATACTATCACGTGCGTGACTTTCGTCACTTTTACGAAAGTGAAGACAAGTGACGAACGATTTCTTCACTTTCATTAAAGTGCATGATCAGTGCACGGTACATATCACGTGTGTGACTTTCGTCACTTTTCCGAAAGTGAAGACAAGTGACGAACGATTTCGTCAGTGACGAACGATTTCGTCACTTTCATTAAAGTGCATGATCAGTGCACGGTACATATCACGTGCGTGACTTTCGCCACCTTTACGCACGTGCCGTCATATGAACATAGGGTGGACTGCGTGTCCTTTGATGAAAGTTTTGCTTGGGTGCTGGCGCTAGGGCTAATGCTTAGCTCGCTGCCGACAATCTCCGAAGGCGCCCCTTGAAGTTGTTTTTGCTCTTGTGTTATTAGGTTGTGGTCTCTGCGAGGGTGAAAGGGTCCCCGCAATACCAGATGGTCATACCACTACCCCAACTGCGTATCGCCGAAATCCATCCCAGGCCAGTATCTTTACCCCAAGTACCACAAGCGAATTACATGCATGTACCGTTCCAGGAACGGCAACTTGAAACATACAAAAAAATACCATCAAAGATATACCTCATACGTCAAAAGCCTACTTACCTTACCCCCTTGAGAAAACTCAATCCGTAAAAAAACCAGAAATATTTTTGGAAAAATATCACACAAGATTCAACATTACATCAGCGTTGCGTCTTGCAGAACAACGGACAATACCGGAAACGCGTCATCAAATCAGAATCAACAACCTCAAACAACACCGTACCTTTCGACCTCTTGGTCAGCACATAACCATTGTTCGGAAAGTTAAAGCACATAGGCCCCAACCATATACTAATCAGCACATACCAAATCCTTTCTTCAATACAACATCCAGAAATACCCAGGACTGCAAAGACAGAATAACGTCCAAAAACCCAACACAAAAATGACGCTTGCAACTGTCGTTGCATTTACATCTATAATTCTCATTCCATCGCCCCCCCCGCCCCGTGGGATTTAAATAAAGCCACTAGAAAACGGGAACAGACAATATATAGTGCAGACATCTGCCGTTATCCTAAGGCAATTCAACACCTTGTCAACGCAAAACATGAAAAGATCGTACTGCTACAAGGAGCATGGCATATGATACTTGTATGCAGTACGCCAACACAAAAGAAACCGCCCTTCCTTGTGAACATAATGATAACACACAATCTACGACAGCCAGTCAATGGTCTCATGCACCTCCATTCTGAGCCTCACTGACTTTAACCGCAGATCGCATGACACACGGTGTTCTTTCAATGTCCCAAAATACAAGTAACACAAACCTCCAAACATAAGTGCATGAAACACGATAGTATCACATCGCTACGATAGCCGACTAACGACTTCAGGCATCTCCATTCTGAACGTCGCTTGATCATCATCGCGCACGATACGACATGTTACGTTCCCCCGAAAAAAAACAATCCACACATGACAAGAAAGTTAGCCGAAATCAAGCGGAAAAAATACAATCCCCACAACCGACCAGCCGAAATCACCATTTGGAAGCACGAGGGCACCAACCACGAGTACAGTCACTACGACACGTCGGATCCTTCCTCCAAATAAATTATCCGACATCCACTAAACGATAGAAAGCGCACTCGCCTACACGACATCCGTGTTTCTACCGTTGGAGAAGTTTCTGCCGTTGGTGAAGAATCAAATAGAAAAACAAAAATAGGCAAACAGCCCGCCCCCCTGCTGTTGCACATAAAGGCCAGCTCGCAACGATTTGGGCACAATCGAAGATGTAGCACCTGTTCCTCACACACCCACAAGACATCACTACGAAAGCCCAACCACTGAGCCCTTAGATCTCCTAAGCCTCACGTGATATTCTCATCGCGAATGCGCATCACACGCTGCTACCAAAAACCTCCAAGTCAACACGAATGTTGTTGTTGTTGTTGTTGTTGTTGTTGTTGTTGTTGTTGTTGTTGTTGTTGTTGTTTTCTTCACATAAAAAAAAACATCCCG